ATTAAGCCGATTTTTTCGCCTTGCTCCAACTAATATTTGGAGTAAAAAAATAAAAAGTAGGATAAAATTTAATATCTTTTTCAAGTGCAGTCGTAACCAGTATAAAGCAAAATTAAATCTTTGAATCTTTTAATCAGGTAGCGGGATATTTTGTATTTTACACTAATATATATCTCTGATAACGTATAAAATGACTGTAGTGGTAATTTCAAGTGAACCTCCATGCCCTATTCACAAGGATACCCTTGAAAACTAATGATGTGGAAGATGACGTCGTTTTTCTAGTTTTAAAAGTTGATCATTCTGATAATTCCTAAAGGTTTTCCTGCAGTAGATTACACAAGTTACTTTAGATACAGAACCAATAATTAAGACAAATCAATTTACAAAATTATCAACATTGACGCCTAATTACTAGATCAGACAAAGATTTCAGGGTAACGTTGTGAATCGAACATTGTTATCATATTGCATGAGGGTTTTTTTGAAATTACGCTTACACACACTTGAAATTACGATTACAGTCCCTTCAAAACACGTTTTTAAAGTAACAACATTTTATTACAAGTGCTATATAGTTTTAAAAAGTACATGTCTAAGGCTACAAACGAAAAGTATAACTGAGTTAAGGAGGTAAAATCAAAGACCTAACTAGGCATTGTAAATATTTTCATACAGTATCAGGCGATTATATCAATACAATGAAAACAACTTTTTTTTTAAATTTTGCTTGGTAACAAGCTTTTTTCGAACTACAATTTTATATTGACTGCAGCTTCTCTTGACATCCTATGTTTATGTGTATCCATACAGTTTAACAGCTTAATATCAATCAAAATTAAAATCAAAAGTCGTCTTCATTGTATTGATAAAATCGCCTACCATTATAGCAGACTGGATCTGTGTTCCACCCATCCTATAGGTTAAAGAACTGGGCCGAATTTAATGGATTTGAACTACCTCCGCTTTTTCAAATTTGTATCACCGATTCAAACCCTTCCTTAATCTTTGACTAGCTTTGAATCGGTGGTTGCAATTTGAACCGGCAGTAGGTAGTTTATCAACATATCTCAAATACATTAAATTTGGTCCCATGGACTGCTAATTCTATCACTTAAAGCGTAGGAATAGGAAATAGAGACGTATTGGGAATCCAGATAGGGGAATTTTGGGGCTGGGTGAGGGGGAAATTGGCAGGTGCTGGGAGGAGGGAGTGGTGGGGGGGGGGTGAAGGAAGGGTTTAAAGGGAAGGGGGTTCCGGTTTAATATTTCTTGATATTTCTGTAAGATGTTTAACATATACTCCGTCAGATAATCTGTGACAAATCTGTTAAAGAGAGATAACTTAAATAAATGATCAGTTTATTACTTTTACCATACCCTTCATTCTACACCCTTCATAATTCTACCCTTCATTCTACATCCTTCATAGTTCTACCCTTCATTCTATACCTTCATTCTATATCCTTCATAGTTATACCCTTCATTCTACACCCTTCATAGTTATACACTTCATTCTATATCCTTCATTCTACATCCTTCATAGTTATACCCTTCATTCTACACCCTTCATTCTATACCTTCATTCTATATCCTTCATAGTTCTACCCTTCATTCTACATCCTTCCTAGATTACCCTTCATTCTACATCCTTCATAGTTCTACCCTTCATTCTACATCCTTCATAATTCTATCCTTCATATTTCTACCTTTCATTCTACATCCTTCATAGTTCTACCCTTCATTCTACATCCTTCATAGTTCTACCCTTCATTCTACATCCTTCATTCTATACCTTCATTCTATATCCTTCATAGTTCTACCCTTCATTCTAAATCCTTCATAATTCTACCCTTCATTCTACATCCTTCATAATTATACCCTTCATTCTACACCCTTCATTCTATACCTTCATTCTATATCCTTCATAGTTCTACCCTTCATTCTACATCCTTTATAGTTCTACCCTTCGTTCTACATCCTTTATAGTTCTACCCTTCATTCTACATCCTTCATAATTCTATCCTTCATTCTATATCCTTCATAGTTATACCCTTCATTCTATATCCTTCATAGTTCTACCCTACATTCTATATTCTTCATAGTTCTACCTTCATTCTACAGCCTTCATAGTTCTACCCTTCATTCTACATCCTTCCTAGATTACCCTTCATTCTACATCCTTCATAGTTCTACCTTTTATTCTACATCCTTTATAGATTACCCTTCATTCTACATCCTTTTCTCTAATTTTTACCGTACACCCATCCTTTTTTTCCTATTTTTTACTGTACACCCATCCTTTTTATATTTTTTACTGTACTCCGATCCTTTTTAATATTTTTTTCCGTACACCCCATCCTTTTTTTCGATTTTTTAACGTACACCCATCCTTTTTTTCTATTTTTACCGTACACCCATCCTTTTTTTTCTATTTTTACTGTACACGCCAACCTTTTTTTCTATTTTTTAACGTACACCCCATCCTTTTCTTCTATTTTTACCGTACACCCATCCTTTTTTCTATTTTTTACTGTACACCCATCCTTTTTCAATTTTTCACTGTACACACATCCTTTTTTTCTATTTTTACTGTACACCCCAACCTTTTTTTCTATTTTTTAACGTACACCCCATCCTTTTTTCTATTTTTACCGTACACCCATTATTTTTTTTACCGTGCATCCCTCCTTTTTCTATTTTTTACTGTACACCCATCCTTTCTTATATTTTTACTGTACTCTCATCCTTTTTTTCTATTTTTTAACGTACACCAATCCTTTTTTTCTATTTTTTACCATTCACCCATTCTTTTTTCTATTTTTTAGTGTACACCCATCTTTTTTCTATTCTTTACCGTACATCCCATCATTTTTCTATTTTTTACCGTACACCCATTATTTTTTTTTACCGTACATCCCTCCTCTTTTCTATGTTTTACTGTACACCCATCCTTTTTTCTATTTTTTACTGTACACCCATCCTTTTTTCTATTTTTTACTGTACACCCATCCTTTTTCTATTTTTTTACCGTACACCCATCCTTTTTCTACGTTTTTACTCTTTACATTAAGCTCCTTCATATTATATATATGTACGTTTACTTACTGTTCTGTTATGGCTCCAATCGTATTTGTATCCCTTCTAAACTTTAAAATCAAACATATCTGAAATGTGTCGAGCTAGTTTTACAAAAACATTTTTTTAATTTCCTATAGGCCATAATTTGTAATGCCTGATATGTTGGGAAACAACGAAAAAATGTTAAGAATTAGTTTTTTATAAGAAACACAAATACTTGGAGAGGTTGTAAACTAAATCTAACTGGAACGTTATTTTTTGTCCTTTTTTGCAAACAAAATCCGCGATCCAATTGCAAGAAGAGTGAAGTATATGGTGACCCACAAAGGATGACATTTTAGAAAAGACTATGCGGAATTTTTTTTTCATTTGTATTTCCTTAGCAAAATCATTTAATCTATCATTAAAAGTCTAAAAAACCTTTACCAAGATAAATAAAAAAGAGTTTCAGGTCATCATGGAAGTGTCATCTATTGTGGATAAAAATGTTCTAAAAAAATTAAAATCCTAATTTTAATCCTAATGACAGAATTAGTTTCAAAGACAGTTGCAGTGCAGGGAAGCGTTGAATATTGGCCTTTATCAAAGGTTCCCAAGATCTCGACAAAGAAATTGAGTCTTTGCCACAAACTCAAAATTTATCATCCCTATAGCTTTGCAACCTGATGGTGTAAACCTGTGATATTTCGAACTTAGTTTTTTGGTCTAACAACATTTATAGATTGAAATATCTAAGCTCTATAATGACATCAGGTTGCAAAGATATAAGAATTCGAAAGTCAGAGTTTGTGGCAAAGATTCAGTTCCTTTGCCTAAAATTGGCCGATGAAAGTAGTGGTTAATAAAATACTTAATTTTCAGGAAAAGTAGTTTTACACAACTTGGTCGTTAGGAATGAAAAGGAATAAAATTGCGCAAGTTTGTTTACGAAAACGTCGCAATGTAATTGTCCCAAGAAGGAACAGTATAAAGTCTCTAAACATCCCGCTGTTGGGGGGAATCAATTGTCGATAATATTAGTTAAAAGGCGGTAAAAGAAATTGAAAATGTTTTTTTATTGTATGGTAATAAGGTATGAATATCTGCAGGAATCTCTCTCCAAGCACTGTTTTTATAGATATATATAATTATTTTAACACATATAATAATCTTTATATAACAAGGAAGATACACTGATACAGGGCCCTCCAAATATTTGTTTAAAACAAATGTCTTCTTAAGTTTCTTGCATGGAAATATATTAAACTTGGTAGCACAGTTAAAGTTTTTTTTATCATTTTCACATTTATACATATATCTAATATATTAAAATACAATTCAATCTTAATTTTAACATATGAAAGTATAAAGTGAATTCTAGCATGCATAAAATTAACAAAAAATTGCTTAATTTGATGTCTGGATAACGAGGTGTAGTGATATGAAACGAGTTTTATCATAAGTTTTGTAATATGAGAAAAGAGTTTATTGAAGCTCTCGATGATGTTCAGCAGTGTCGTTGATTTACGGGAACTTTCGTTGATGAAGTGTCGTTGATTAGGCTTGAAATCAGCTTTCACAATGATCTCAGAGATTATTACACCTGCAGACCTCTATGAAAGCTGGTCCCTTTAATGCCATTTTAGTCTTCTTTAAACGGTTGTCATAGCTCTCCTCTAGGCAAACTTCTTGAATCAACAAACAGCGCACAAATGTTTTATGTTTGACAAAAAGAAATTTAAACAATTAAAAATTCAATAATACTACATACAATACAAAGCAAAACATAGTCTTGGTAAAAAACTAGAAAGAAAATGTCGAAATTTTTTTAATAAAAAAAAATTTGGGCATGAAAAAACATGATAGAAAATCAATGAAATAAAATTTTAGAAATACAAAATAGATTTTTTCAATGATTTTCAAATGTATTAGGTGTTTGTGGGGGGGGGGGTTATCCACAGAAAAACTTGAAAAAATGGAAGTCAGGGGTGAGGAGGGGTTAACAGTTGTTTTTCGCGGTATAAGCGTCTTAACATGTGATAATGTCGGTTGTTCATGTCACATTAGTAGCAGAATATGCCGTCAAACAGATGGAGGCGATACGGGCCACTGGACATTTTTCAGAGGGGGGGGAGGGGGGACCCCCCCTGCACCCTTTCGTTGTATGGACTGTCACCAATATGTCAACTGTAGGAACAGAACTCTGCTAAATGAATGAATGAATGTTGGAAGAAATTATTGAATTGTTAAAAGATTATATATAAAACTCGAATGGAAAAACTTAAAAAGTTGGATAGAGAGAGGATAAGAAAACGTCAACGAAATAAAAACAATAAAATATATGAGAAACAGGAGAAGGAGGGAGAGGATAAAGATG